ACAATTTCACTAACTTCAGACTCAACATCACCCACGTCCTCAAACCCTTGTGTGGAAACAGCATCAGGCCACAGCTTTTTCCAAGCATTCTCTTCAATGGTGATGTAGGTACGTCGAGGCATCTTTTTCCAGAAGAGGCCCGTCTCATCACAATTAAAAACTTGCTGTGGGATGTAACCTTCCTCATCCACCAATTCTTTGAATTTTTGAAGAAATTCGTCGGCCGCTTTCTGGTTGACACTAGATGCCTCGCCATGCCGAACAACAGAGTGAATTCCAGTCCTCCTCTTAAATTTGTCGAACCACCCACGCGATGCCTTAAACTCCGGGTTTGGTTGTGAATCCGAAGTTCCTTCACCTCCATCCTTCTTCACGAGGTCATTGAAGATGGCCATTGCCTTTTCAGAAATCGCCGTTTCAGTCACTGCGTCTCCAGCTATCTCTTTCCCCTTTATCCATAGAAGTAACAATCTCTCCATTTCATCATTCACTGCCGACCTCCTCTTTGAAAGAACAGAGATGCCTTTAGAAGGAGTCACAGCTTTTAGGGCTTCCTTGTGCTTCAGAATTGCGCTGATTGTGGATGGGTTACGGCCATATTCTTTTGCGATATCAACCAAGCGCATCCCTCTTTCATACTTTTCTATGATCTCTTGCTTGGTTTCTATGGACAAGAGCACTCTCTTCTTCTTCTTATCACTTTTCGGCATCGCTTTCTTGGGGGCCATAGTGTTGATGGATATCAGAAGCCAAAAATACAATCCTGGAGATCAAAAGCCAAAAATATCAAAAGCCAAAAATACAATCTTGGAGATCAGAAGCCACAAATATCACAAGGCAAAAATACAGTACAGTCCTGGAGTTCAAAAGCCACAAGTCCTACCTTCCTGGACCTCAGAAGCCACCAATTTCGCTAGCCACACTTCCTCTCCTCTTTCGCAAGCCCAAACAGTGCTGCCTAGCTGAATTTCGCTAGGCAAACACTTCCTCTTTCGCTAGCCAAACCGGTGCTGCTTTGCTAGATTTCGCTAACCAATGGCATGCCACGAAATTCG